AACATCGAGGGCCGAAGGGCCTGTACTGCGCTGTAATGTTCTATGTTCTATGTTCTATGATGGGAATATGCTGGAACCAGAGTCCTGGCAATCACATAGCTGGGGCTGTAGAGGGCTGTGGATAGGACTTTAAACTCAATAGTGGGGGAGGGGGGGGTTCACTTGCAGGGAAAATTATGAAAAGCGTTAAAGGAGGGGAGGGCTTAGCAGAAGTTAAAGTTTCCAAAACGAGTCATAGGACAGAGAAAATGGAAAGGGTCAGGAATCTCAGTTCAGGTATAGCAGATAAGGGAAATGCTATGAGAAGGGGGTCAGTCAACTCAGGACAGAGGGTGTTGTACTAAAATGCATGCAGTGTGTGAAACAAGGTAAATGAACTTGTAGCAAGATTGAAATTGGCAGGTATGATGTTGTGGGTATCACAGAGACATGGCTGTAAGGGGATCAGGGCTGGGAACTAAATCTCCAAGTGTATGTGTCTTACAATTACAATTGAGTAAAGGTAACGACAAAGACATGAGGGAGGAGCTGGCCACAGTTGATTGGAAGGGGAGGCTTGCACCGAAGATGGTGGAGCAGCAATGGCAGGAATCAAAGTCATAGAGTCATACAGCACAGTAAGGACAGGATGAGGTAACCATGGCTGACAAGGGAAGTCAGGGACGACATAAAAGCAAAAGGAAAAGGAATCAATGTGGTGAAGTTTAGTGGAAAGCCAGAATATTGGGAAGCCTTTAAACACCAGCAGATGATAACTGAAAAAGCAATAAAGGGGAGAAGATGAAATATGAGAGCAAGTTAGTAGTAATATAAAAGATAGCAAGAGTTCTTTTAGATATCTAAAAGGTAAAAGAGAGGCAAGAGTGAACATTGGATGCTGGAAATGAGACTGCAAAATACTAATGGGGAACAAAGAAATGGTAGAGGAACTGAATATGTACTTTTGACAGTGGAAGATAACAGCAGCATACCAGAACTTCAAGAGAGTCCGAGACAGAAGTGACTGTAGCGGCCATCACTAAAGAGAAGGTGCTGGGGAAGTTGAAAGGGGTGAAGGTGGATAAATTACTCAGACCAGATGGATTACTTCCCAGGGTTCTGAAGGAGATAGCGGAGGAGAATGTAGAAGCATTGGTGGTGATCTATCAGGAATCACTGGAGTCAGGGAAGGTCCCAGAGGACTGGAAAATGGTTAATGTAACATTTTGTCTAAGAAGGGTGGGAGGCAGAAGACTGGAGACTATAGGCCATTTAGCAAATGGGCAAAGAAGTGGCAGATGGAATTCAATGTGGGAAAGTGAGATTATGCACTTTGGGAGGAATAGAGGCAAAGACAATTTTTTAGATGGGGAAAGGCATTGAAAATCTGAAGCACGACGGGACTTGGATGTCCTAGTTCCAGATTCTTTTAACATGAAGGTTCAGTCAGCGGTCAGGAAAGCCAATGCAATGTTGGCATTCATTTTGAGAGGGCTACAATACAGGAGCAGAGATGTACTGCTGAGACTGTATAAGATTCTGGTCAGATCACGTTTGGAATATTGTCAGCAGTTTTGGGCCCTGTATCTGAGGAAGGATATGCAGGCCTTCGAGAGGGTCCAGAGGAGGTTTGCAAGAATGATCCTAGGAATGAAGGGCTTGTCATATGAGGAGTGATTGAAAACTCTGGGTCTGTACTCGGTGAAGTATAGGAGGATAAGGGGGGTCTCATTGAAACTTACAGGCTCCTGAGAAGCCTGGATAGAGTGAAAATGGAGAAGATGTTTCCATTAGTCAGAGAGACTAGGAGCCGAGGGTACAGCCTCTGGGTGAAGGGATGATCCTTTAGAACTGAAATGAGGAGGAATTTCTTCAGCCAGAGGGTGGTGAATCTGGGGAACTCATTGCAGAAGGCTGTGGAGGCCCAGTTGCTGAGGGTATTTAAGACAGAGATAGATACATTCTTGATTTGTTGGGGGGTCATGGGTTATGGGGAGAAGTCAGCAGAATGAATGATCGAATAGCAAAGCAGACTTGATGGGCTGAATGGCCTAATTTTGCTCCTATGTCTTATGGTGTAATTAGTTTATAGAATGATGTTATAGAAAATAAAGGATTTTGAATTAATGGAATATTGTGTCTGGGTCAGTTGAATATTCCCCTGTTATCAACTAAACATTTAATTTTGGATGGGCTTGGAATGTTCTCCTTTTCATTTACAGAATCTTTGCTGCATTCTGACTGAGACAGGTTTTCCCCTCGGCTCAGATTGTATTTGGGAATTTCTGAATTTTCCCTGAGTTTTGGTGACTGCACATGCCTTTCTGCTACTGAAGGGGATATTTTTCCTCAACCTGTTCAGGGATGTTATTACACACCTCAGGAGTAGATGGGATTTGAACCTAGAACTCCTGGCTCAGAGGTATGGACACTACCACTACACCAGGAGGGTCCCCTTTCTGCTGTTGAAACCATAATGAATGTATTGGCTGGTTGACTGCATTCAATCTTGCACTTGGGTCTCCAGTATCTGACTCCAGCTGTGTGATCATATGTCCTCCGCTGGTACCAAAGCCTCACTTTTGGACAATACATGTCAACTGCCAGGGTTCCTGTCACTTTATGGCATCACTCCATCCTCAGACTTACAAGAGTGTGGGTCCTGACTTCACTCTGCATCTCGAGCCCATTGATCTAGTCGGAGGTTTGTCATGTAGCACAGTGCTGGGCTTCTCTCTGATGTAACTGAATGAAAAGTTATATTTCTATAAACGCTGAGAATAGAATCATCACCCTGTACATTGCTGCACTCTGTACAGCCCACTTTACAACATGGCTTCCTGAAATTTGATTGCTGTGTGAGAAATGATTACCAAGTATTTACTAGAGCAGATTTGGAAGAAGTGCAATGTGTTATTCAGAGATATTGTCATTTGGTCAAACCATTATTTTTGTTTTTATTATTATTTTCATAGAATCCATGTAATTGACATAAAAGGAAGCTGCCAATTCCATTGTGGGATGGTGCTCACTGAGTTGGGAGGCTTGGTCACTACAAGGTAGCCACTAGGAATCTGTCTGTGACCGTGGAGATATAAATCTAGTCACCCTAGGACACAGGTAGCTTTGTTGGCTAGAGATTCACTTTAATGCCCTTAAGATAATGTGAAGGTCTGTGATTTGTTGGCTGAGGTTCGAGCCTTACTCATGGCACCAAGGGATTGGGGGTGAGTTACAAAGTGAATCTCAAGAATGATCAGGACTTGGTGAAGTAGTTTAACTGGGGGAAGAGGTCTGGGCTGCGTTATCCCTTCCCTAGGCTTGTGTGAAGCTAAGAACGAGATTTACTCCCATGATACCCAGTGGCATTTTTTTTTCTGGTTCGAAAGAGATGCAGCAATGTCATTGGCAGATTCAGAGTCAGGTTCCTCTCAACTTCTACCCTACACACCCAAATCATCTTCCTCCTCTTCCCCCACCCCCATCTTCCCCAATAGTAATTCTCAGCATCAACTGTCTACAACTTACTGCATTTTCCTTTTTTTTTGTTTAAACTCGTTTCGGGTGTTTACTTTGTAGATGTGTTTAATGATTTCAGTTGACTGAAATTGACTTATTTTTAAAATCATATTGCTATATGTAACTGAATGAAATGGAGACTGAAAATAAGTGCAGTGTTTTTATTTATTAACTAAAGGTTACAGCACTGGGGAAAAATTAGAATCAGTTAATTAAAAGCTGATTATGGAATGGACAGAGATCAGAGCTCAATAATTCTGTGCTTTTCCTCTGATTGAGAGAAATGATCAAATCAGTATAGGCTACAAGATGAGGGAACAAAGACACAACAGAATGAACTACAAGTAGCAGCAAAGCAGTGAACTCTTCGATGCTGCAAAGTTTGGGCAGACTTTTTCTAGATCTTATTTCTCAGTATCACTTTTCTAGGATTTGAGAGCTGACTGATTTCTCTTCCTCCACTGCCACAGGGCTTTCACATCTCAATGTCAGAAATGAGTTCAGGATTGCAGCTCATTGAATTGTGAGCTTCGTGTTTCTCTGGGATTGCAAGATGACCCCACAGCATTGAGGAAGAGATGGGTTTAGATCTGGGTTCCAAAACTTCCACATTGAATGTGTCTTCAAAAGGATCCACTAGATCTTCAGAGTGTAAAATATGCTGTTGAATACCAAGCTCACTTCTTGGGAGTCTGTGAGTAAGCATGGATTCAGCTGGTAAACGCTGTGGGGTTTGACGATGTTCAGAGAGATTGTTACCAGAAACCAGAACTATATCAGCATTCTTACACCTTGACTGGACTTCCTGTGGATCACTTTCCCGTCTAATGCTCAAGGAGCCATTCTGAGGTTTGGAGTGATTCGCTAGGACTCTGATTGCATTTTGCTGGATTATGTTCCAATCTTGCAGGATGTCATCTTTGATTGTCATTGGGGAGGTGACAGTGAATCGAATAATGAACCTGTTGGAAATGGTAGCAGGCACCAGGTACATGGTCCCTGACTGGTTGAGTTCTGTCAGAAGCTCTTCTGTCAGTCTGTTTGGTCCCTGTTTATTTGGATAAAACTGCAGCGTTACAATTGGAATTTTGTCACAATGAGAATCTGTAAGCTTTAGCTGCATTCTCACCAATAAAACTCTTTAACTGTAAATTAATTCCTTCTCTATATCTCTTCCAAACCCATAATCCCAGAGAACAGTTTCAAACAGACAGATTCCCAGCTCTGTTCTAGGAAACTAAACCAATCAAAATTCTATCGACAATCCAGAGTCACAAACATCATTTACCAAGGCCCAACCATCTTCAGCTGCTTCATTAATGACGTTCCCTTCATCGTAATGTGGGGATATTTGCTGATGATGATGCAATGTTCAACACCATTCATGACACTCAGATACTGAAGCAGTCCACGTCCAAATGCAGCGAGACTACACTCTCCAGGTTTGGGCTGGCAAGTGGCCAGTGACATTCATGGCACACAATGACCCTCCCCAACAAACCAGAACCTAACCACCACCCCCAACACTCAACGGTATCGCCACTGCTGAATTCTCCACCATCAACATTGTGGGGGTTATTGTCGACCAAAAACTGAACTATAAACTGGCCATACAAATACTGTGGCTACAAAAGCAGTTCAGAGACTGGGAACCCTGTGGTGAAGAACTCATCCCCTGATCTTTGCCAAATCTAGTCCATCATTGACAAGGCACAAGTCAGGAGTGTGATGGAATACTCCCCACTTGCCTGGATGGGTGAAACCCCAACAACACTCAAGAAGTTCAACACCATCCAGGACAAAGCTGCCCACTTGATTGGCATCACATCCACAAGCGTCCACTCCCTCCACCACCGAAGCTCAGTAGCAGCAGTGTGTACTATCTACAGGATGCACTGCAGAAATTTATCAAGTCTTGCTAAGTGAGCCCTTTATAAGGGCCCATGGTGTTAGAGGCAAGGTGCTAGCATGGATAGAAGATTGGCTGTCTGGCAGAAAGAAGAGAGTGGGGATAAAGGGGTCTTTCTCAGGATGGCAGCCAGTAACAAGTGGAGTTCCGCAAGGGTCAGTGCTGGGACCACAACTTTTCACTTTAGACATTAATGATCTAGATGTGGGCATTCTGGCTAAGTTTGCAGACGATACAAAGATAGGTGGAGGGACAAGGTAGTATTGAGGAGGTGGGGAGGCTGCAGAAGGATTTGGACAGGCTGGGAGAGTGGGCAAAGAAGTGGCAGATGGATTACAACGTGGGAAAGTGTGAGGTCATGTACTTTGGTAAGAAGAATAAAAGCATGGACTATTTTGTAAATGGGAAGAAAATTCAGAAGTCTGAAGTGCAAAGGGACTTGGGAGTTCTAGTCCAGGATTCTCTCAAGGTAAACTTGCAGGTTGAGTCAGTAGTCAGGAAGGCAAATGCAATGTTGGCATTTATTTTGAGACAACTTGAATATAAAAGCAGGGATGTACTGCTGAAGCTTTATAAGGCTCTGGTCAGGCCACATTTGGAGTATTGCATGCACTTTTGGGCCCCATATCTCTGGAAGGATGTACTGGCCCTGGAGCAGGTTCAGAGGAGGTTCACGGGAATGGTCCCAGGAATGGAAAGCTTAACATATGAGGAATGTTTGAGAACTCTGGGACTATACTCATTGGAGTTTAGAAGGATGAGGGGGGATCTAATTGAAACTTACAGAATACTGAATGGCCTCGGCAGAGTGGATGTTGGGAAGATGCTTCCATTGGTAGGAGAGACTAGGACCCAAGGGCACAGCCTTAGAGTAAAGGGAAGACCTTTTAGAATGGAGATAAGGAGAAACATTTTCAGCCAGAGAGTGATGAATCTATGGAATTCACTGCCACTGAAGGCTGTGGAGGCCAGGTCATTGAGTATATTTAAGACTGAGTTAGATAGGTTCTTGATTGTCCAGGGGATCACGGGTTATGGGGAGAAAGCAGGAGAATGGGGTTCAGGAACTTATCAGCCATGATTGAATGGCAGAGCAGACTCGATGGGCCAAATGGCCTAATTTCTGCCCCTGTATCTTATGGTCTTATGGTCTTCTTAGACAGCACCTTTCAAAACTACCATCATTTCTATCAAGAAGGACAAGGGCAACAGATACATGGGAACACTGACCCTGCAGGAAATGTATTACTGTTCCTTCAGTGGCTCTGGATCAAAGTCCTGGCCCTCCCTCCCTATCAGCATTGAGGATTTACCTACATGACAAAGGCTGAAGAGGTTCAAGAAGGCAGCTCGTCACCACCCTGTCAAGAGCAGCTGAGAAGAAGCAATAAATGATAGCCCAGCCAGCAATGCCCATATCCCATGAATGAATGAAAAAATAATTTTGTGAAAAGGCCATAGTATTTTCCCTCACCTTCAGACGGAAAGTCACCAGTCCAAGGTGCCTTTTTGCTGGGACTTCAAAATTGGAATCCCTTCGAACTAAGGTCTCAAAATATTTGGCCATCTTCGTGCCCTGTTCATTAAAGCATGGAATGAAACGACAATAAAAAACTGCAATGAGTTTCCATGAACTGAGTGAAGATGATGTACATATAACAACATTGAGCATTAATGTATTTTGGAAGGAAGAGTGAAGGGAAAGAGAATAAACTCAATGGTACAATTTTAAAGCTGATGCAAGAACAGAGAGAACTGGGCTGGAATCAATAGAGTGGCAACCTGAAAGAGGGATTCAACTAATCTGGTATTTTACATCGATCTTCACGATAGACTATACAATTGGTATACCGGAAGTAGCTGTAAATGAGGAAATAGACAGGAGGAATAAGCTCAAGTCAATGACCACCATCAGGAAAGTGGTGCTGAGCTGTGAGCTGACAAATGCCTGAGTCCTGATGGACTTCATCCAAGGATCTTAAATGAAGTGGTTAGTGGGAGAATTGATGAATTGATTCTGATTTTCCAAAACTCCATGTATTCAGGAAGGTTCTATTTACATGGAAAATGGTTAATTCACCTTCTTTATTCAAAATGGGAGACAGACAGCAGAAATCTATGGTCAATAAATGTGAAGTTGGAAAAGCACAGCCGGTCAGACAGCATCCGAGGAGCAGGAAAGTCGACATTTCGGGTGGACACATTTTGTCAGGACTGGGGAGGGGGAGGGGAGCCCAGAAATAAATAGAGGAAGGGGGTAGGGCTGAGGCTGAGGGAATGGTAAGTGAGATGGAGATAGGTGGATGCAGGTAGGGGGTTATTGTGGTTGGTCAATGAGAAGGGTGGAGCAGATTAGTGAGTCAGAAGATAGACAAGTTGGGGGAGGAGAGATTTTGAAGCTGGTGAAGTCAATATTCAGGCCATTGGGCTGTAAGCTCCAAAGGCGAAATATGAGGTGTTGTTCCTCCAGATTACGTTTGGCTTCACTCTGACAGTGGAGGAGGCCAAGGATGGTCATGTCACCAGGGGAGTGGGAGGGGCTGTTAAAGTGGATGGTAACTGGAAAGTCAGGTTGGTTGGTGCGTGCAGAGCGCAGATGCTCGACCAACTGGTCCCCAAGTCTACATTTGGTCTCCCTGATATAGAGGAGACCGCATCAGGAGCAACGCATACAGTAGATGGGCTAGGTGAAGTGCAGGTGAATCTTTGCCAGATTTGGAAGGATTGTTTGGGTCCTCGTATGGAGGTAGAGGAGAGGTGTAGGGGCAGGTGGTCCCTTTTTTAGTAGTGGGGTCTGATTGTAGGTGGCGAATACCTCCAAATCCAACACATCATCCTCTGACATTTCTGCCACCTACAATCAAACCCCACCACGAAAAAGATATTTCCTTCCCCACCCCTGTCCGCTTTCCACAGGGACCATTCACTCCGTGACTCCCTTGTCAGCTCCATACACCCCACCAACCCCTCATCACACCCAGTACCTTTCCCTGCAACTGCAGGAGGTGCTACACCTGCCCCTACACCTGTCCTCTACCTCCATACGAGGACCCAAACAATCCTTCCAAATCTGGCAAAGATTCACCTGCACTTCACCTAGCCCATCTACTGTACGCGTTGCTCCTGATGCGGTCTCCTCTATATTAGGGAGACCAAATGTAGACTTGGGGACCAGTTTGTCGAGCATCTGCGCTCTGCACGCACCAACCAACCTGACTTTCCAGTTACCATCCACTTTAACAGCCCCTCCCACTCCCCTGGTGACATGACTATCCTTGGCCTCCTCCACTGTCAAAGTGAGGCCAAACGTAATCTGGAGGAACAACACCTCGTATTTCGCCTTTGGAGCTTACAGCCCAATAGCCTGAATATTGACTTCACCAGTTTCAAAATCTCTCCACCCCCAACCTGTCCATCTTCTGACTCATCCATCTGCTCCACCCTTCTCACTGACCAACCACAATAACCCCCTACCTGCATCCATCTATCTCCGTTTCACCTACCCTCCCCCAGCCCCACCCCTTCCTCTATTTACTGGCTCCCCTCCCCTCCCCTCCCCAGTCCTGACGAAGGGTGTCTGCCTGAAACATTGACCTTCCTGCTCTTCGGATGCTGTCTGACCGGCTGTGCTTTTCTAGCTCCACAATTATTGACTCTAGCTTCCAGCATCTGCAGTCCCTACTGTCTCCAAGCAGAAATCTACAGCCCAGTTAATTTAACATCTGCCAGAGGGAAAGCATTAAAAAGATTTTTCAAAGACATTTTGTGAAAAGGGAAATCAATTTAATGGAATTCTTTTAAGAAGTAACGTGCAGTGGATAAAGGGGAACGAGTAGGTGTGCTTAATTTAGATTTCAAGAAGATATTTGATAAGGTGCCCAATCAAGGGTTATAGCAGAAAATAAAAGCTGATAGTATAATGCACATGTATTAGAATAGATAGAAAATTGCCTGGGCTGACTATTCTTTTGCAGGGATTCGGCTTAATGGGTCATTGAGGGGAAAGAAAGTTTGGTTGCTACATTTGCTGATGACACAAAGATAGGCAGGAATGTAAGTTATGAAGACGACAAAGGGAGACAACAAATGTTAGGTGAATGGACACAATTAAACTTTAATTATACATTATACAGAACATGTCTGTATAATGAGTATAATTTGGGAAAATGTCTATTTTGGCAGTTAGAATAAAATGAAACATTTTATTTAAATGTGAGATTGCAGCACTCAGATGCAGAGATTGGAGTGTTCTAGTGCATGAATTGCAGAAGGTTAATTTGCAGATACAACAAGTAATTAAGAAAGCTCATAGAACATTCTCATGTATTGTAAGGAGAATTGAATACTAAAGTAGAGAGGTTATGTTTCGCTTAGACAGGGCACTGGTGAGATCACATCTAGAGTATTGTGTACACTATTGGTCACCTGATTGAAGCAAAGATGTAAATAAATGGAGTCAGTCGGGATTAATACCCAGAAGGAGTAGGTTGTCTTGGTGGGTAAGGCTTGGCTTGTGTCACTGCAGCTTAAAAGAGCAAGAGGTGACTTTGATGAAACGTATAAATGCCTAAGGAGTCTGACAGGGTGGATGGTGAGAGGGTGTTTCCCCTTCTGGAGGAATCTAGAGCTCAGGGTCACTGTTTAAAAATCAAGGGTTGGCCATTTAAGCCAGAAATGTTGAGAAGGGTTTGCTCAGAGGGTCGTGAACCATTGGAACTCTCTTCCTGAAAAGGCAGTTTAGAATCTCTGAATAATCTTAAAGCAGAGATAAATTCTTCACAAAATCACACAATTGCTCTGGTGCATAAAGAGGCCAATCAGCCCATCGGTCTGCACTAACTCTCTGAGCAGTTCGACTTAGTGCCAGTCTCTGGCCTCCTCCCTATAACCCCACACATTGAACGGTGATTTCAATAGAAACAATCCTGTTCAATGTCTCAATTGATTCTGTCCCCACCAGGCAGTGCCTTCCATACCCGAGTTAGTCAAAGTGAGAAAAGGTCTTTCACCTCCTACTTGCTTCTTTTGCAAAGCCTCTTAAAATGGCCACCTGGTCCTGAACCATTTTATGACAGAATCAGTTTTTTTTTCTCCACCTACTCCATCCAGATCTTTCATGATTTTGAAAATTTCTATTCCTTGCAGCCTTCTCCTCTCCAAGGAAAACAGTTACAACATCTCCAATCTATCCTCATAATTGAAATCTTTCATCCCTGGAAACATTCCTGTAAATGTTTTCTGCTTTTTCACTAATGCATTCACATCCTCCCTCTATTGTGATGTGCAGAACTCTAGCAGAGGTCTAACCAGTGGCCTGTATAGATGGATCACAACCTCTATGCCTCTTCACTCTATTCCCCTATTAATGAAGCCTAGAATATGATTTGCTTTATCAGGAGTTCTCTCTACTTGTCCTCCCACCTTTTAATGATTTACGCAAATATTAACCCGGGTGTCTCTCCTCCTACACACTAAGAATAGCACTCTTTATCCTATATTGTCTCTGCCTGTACTTTCTATCAAAGTGCATCACCTCACACTTCTCTTCATTGAGCCTCATTTGCCACCTATCTGCCCACTCTGCCAACTGGTCAATGTCCTTTTGGAATTTCACACTGTTCTCTTCACAGTTTGCAATTCTCCCAGTTTCTGTGTCACCTGCAAACTTTGAAATTGTCCCGTGCACACCAGGATCTGGATTATTTACTTATATCAAGAAAGCAAAGGTCCCAAAGCTGAGTCCTGGGGAACTCCTTGACAAACCTTCATCTACCCTGAAAAATATCCATTAATACTTTCTCTCCCGTGGCTAGTTTTATATGCAAGTTGTGACTGTTTCTTTTATCCCATGACCTATAACTTTCCTCACAAGTATGTTGCATATCACTGTATCAAATGCCTTCTGGAAATCCATGTACACCACATCAGCACCTTCCCTTCATCATCTCTCTCTGTTACATCTTAAAAAAAACTTCGGCAAGTTAGTTAGACATGATTTTCACTTAACAAATCCATGCTGACTTTTCTGAATCAGTCCACATTTTGCAATTCTCCAATTCCAGGGAAGACTGAAATATACTGAAAACAAAAAATTGTAGGAAATCACAGCAGGTTGGGCAGCATCCATGGAGAGAGAGCAACGTAATGTTTCGAATCTACATGACTCTTCATCAGAGCTGGAATATACTGAAATATACTTGCCCATGCCTCTGCAATTTCCACTCTCACTTCGTTCAATGTTCTTGGAATGCATCTCAACCAGTCCCAGTTCTTCATCAACTTTAAATGTGCAGGTTATCCAATTACCTCCTTTTTATCGATTTTAAACCCTTCCAGTGACTGAGTTTCCTTTTCTGTCACTATTGCCTTGATAGCATCTGCCTTGTCAGTAAAGACAGATTTGAAACCTCAGCCATGCCTCTTGTCTCCATGAGGAAATCCCCTTTTCGGTCCCTCATTGGCTGTACTCCTTTTACCACCCTTTTACAATTGATGTGCATTGGGATTTCCTTTTCATGTTAGCTGCCTGCCTTTTTTTTTATAATCCCTTTTTGCTTCTAGTAATTTTCTTCTATATTTTCCTCTGAACCTTCTGTGTTTAGCTTGGTTTTCAACTGTATTTACTTCTTGACACCTGTCATAAGCACACATTTCCTTTAACTTCTATCTGCTTTGTCATCCTGGGACATATGGATTTGTTTGTTTCCCTTTTGAGGGAATATTCCATGACTATGCCCAACCTGACCTTGTCTTGAAGCTACCCATTGTTCAGCAACTGTTTTTCCTGCCAATCTTCAGTTACGGTCTGTCTCTATATGATCTGTTCTTGCCCCATTGAAGTCTGCTGTCCACCAGTTGATAGTTCTTACTCTTCATTGACCAATGTCATTTTCTACAGTCATTCTAAATATTATGAAACAAAGATCATTGTCCTGTAAATATTCCCTACTGTCTCATGTTCTACTTGACCCTCCTTGTTCCTGAGAATCAGGTCTAGCAATGCGTCCTTGCTTGTTGAATTGACACACTTTTATGCTGGTGTCCTGAACACAATCTAGGAATATTGTCTTTCACAGCTCCTTACACAACCATTATCCTAGTGTGTATATTTAACTACTTTGTATATTTATGCCTCTGTAGTTTCCTTGCAGCTTTGTTTCTCTATCTCCTTCCTATTAGCCAGAGGTCTGTAGATTACATTCAGCACATCATTCCACCTTCTTATTCCTGAGCTCAGGCTGAATCACTGCAGCATACTGGGTCTGAAAGGCTGGCTTCTGTGATAACAAGGTGTAGAGCTGGATGAACACAGCAGGCCAAGCAGCATCAGAGGAGCAGGAAGGCTGACGTTTCGGGCCTAGAGGCTTCTGCATTAGTTCAGCCTTTCCTTCTGCCACTATGATTACATCCTCAAAATATGCTGTTTCACAATTTTCAACGCAACTGACTGATCTAACAAGCAACAGAATCAATGTTTCTTAGAGATAGTAGGAACTGCAGATGCTGGAGAATCCGAGACAACAAGGTGCAGAGCTGGATGAACACAGCAGGCCAGGGTCTAGGCCTGAAACGTCAGCCTTTCTGCTCCTATGATGCTGCTTGGCCTGCTGTGTTCATCCAGCTCTGCACCTTGTTGTCTCAATGTTTCTTAGCATTGTTTTATATGGGTTGCACTGGGGGGCAGGGGTTGGGAGGAGACCTGGAGAATAATTAAAGTGCTCAGCAAGTAGCTAAGGGAACCTTTGTTTTGAAATTTTGATGTAAATCTGGCTCAGAGAAAGGGAGTGACATTATCTGGCCTTTAGTCAATTTGTAGTTCTGTTGGTTAATAGCCAACATTTGGTTTACAATACTCTCCTTCCCACACAAAAACCACATCACCTACATCTGTAATGAATATTTAAACAAATAACACACCCAACACTTACATGTCTGATATGCTCCTGGAGTTTCTTCACGCCAAAAGAGCGAATAACAAACCAGAGCTTTAAAGATCTGAATCTACGGCTCAAAGGGATTTGCCAGTGCTGTAGAGGGAGAGAGAGGGGGAGGAGAGAGAGAGGGGGGGGGGGGGGAGGGAGGGGGGGAGAGAGAGAGAGAGGGAGACAGACGGGGTGGGGAGAGAGAGAGAGAGAGAAACACACACATCCTGTCAACAAGAAAATCATATCTTCAAATAAATCCCCGCACTAAGTTAATGCCAGAAACTGAGATGTTAATGCAGCTTGCTGACAAACTCTCAGATTCACACATGGTCCCTGATAAAACATGCTTTGTACATCTAATGAGGATCCATGTGAAGTACTGCACACCATTGAGTTATAGAGCTGTAAACATGGAAACTGACCCTTCGGTCCAACTCATCCATGCCAACCAGATATCCTAAATTAATCCAGTCCCATTTGCCCATATCCCTCTAAACTCTTCCTATTCATATACCCATCCAGATTCCTTTTAAATGTTCTAATTGTACCAGCCTCCACCACTTCCTCTGGCAGCTCATTCCATACACGCACCACCCTCTGTATGAAAATGTTGCCCCTTAGGTCCCTTCTAAATCTTTCCTCTCACCCCAAACCTATGCCCTCTAGTTTTTGATTCCCCCCATCTCAGGGAAAAGCCCTGGTCTATTCACCCTATCTATGCCCCACATGATTTTATAAACCTCTATAGGGTCACCCCTCAGCTTTCAACGCTCCAGGGAAAATAGCCCCAGCCTATTCAGCCTCTCCCTGTAGCTCAAACTCTCCAACCCTGGCTCTGGGTTATTTCACAAATGCATCCAGAAGTCCATGTAAATTATTTCATTTAGTTTTTTTTTGTAAATAGATGTAAAGCGCAGAGATATCAGCCTGTTGTAATTTGTCAAGGCATTGTAATAACAAAAGTTACATTGCCAAGGTTGGATCTCATAATCCTAGAATTGGTAATATGTTAGGAATTTCAGACCTTGATTATGAGGTGCACTGCTTCAAATTTACCGTTGCTTTCCTTTTCGTTTCTGGTTATAAGTAAACTGTAGAATTTCATTTGTTGTGCAGGTTCTATCTTTCAGCTTCAGAAGAATTTGTGACTGTACCAGCTAGGGGTGTCACAACTTCTGTGTTAAACCCACAAGAAGTTTTATTTTTATCCTGACGTGTTGCTGTCTGATTCATTTGAATGTGACAAGGGAGTAGAGAAAAATAAGATTTATATTTGATGTCTATATGGACTTCAGCAAAGTGTTCGACAAGGTTCTGCCTGATAGATTGGTTTTAAGGTTAGATCACGTGGGATCTGGGTGAACTAGCCAATTGGATACAAAATTGGCTTGAAGGTAGGAGACAGAGGTTAGTGGTCGAGGTAGTAGGAACTGCCGATGCTGGAGAATCTGAGATAACAAGATGTAGAGCTGGAGGAACACAGCAGGCCGGGCAGCATCAGAGGAGCAGGAAAGCTGATGTTTCGGGTCTGCACCCTTCTTCAGAAATGCCTGGCTTGGCCTGCTGTGTTCATCCAGCTCTACACCTTGTTATCCTAGTGGTAGAGGGTTGTTTTTTGGACTGGAGGCCTATGCCCAGCAGTGTGCTGCAGGGATTGGTGCTGGGTCCACTGCTTTTTGTCATTTATGTAAATGATTTGGATGTGAATATAGGAGGCATGGTTAGTAAGTTTGTAGATGACACCAAAATATGTTGTGTAGTGGATAGTGAAGGACATTATCTCAGAGTACAATGGGACCTTGATCAGGTGGGCCAATGGGCCAAAGAGTGGCAGATGGAGTTTAATTTAGATAAATGTGAGGTGTTACATTTTGGTAAGACAAACCAGGGCAGGATTTGTACAGTTGATGACGGGGTCTTAGGGAATGCTACTGAACAAAGGGTGCAAGTACATAGTTCCTTGAAAGTGGAGTCAAGGTAGACAGGGTGATGAGGAAGGCATTTGACACACTTGCCTTCATTGGTCAGTGTATTGAGTATTGGAGTTGGGATGTCATGTTGTGGCTGTACAGGACATTGGTGAGGCCACTTTTGGAATACTGTGTGCAATTCTGGTCTTCCTTCCATAGGAAGAATGTTGTTGAACCTGAGAGGGTGCAGAAAAGATTTACAAGGATGTTGTTGGGACTGGAGAGGTTGAGTTATAGGGCCAGGCTGAACAGGCTGAGGCTATTTTCTCTGGAGCATTGGAGATTGAGGGGTTACCCTGATATAGGTTTATAAAATCATGAGGGGCATGGATAGGATGAATAGCCAAGGTCTTTTTCCCCTGGGGTGGGGAAGTCCAAAACTAGAGGGCACAGGTTTACTGTGAGAAGGAAAGATTTAAAAAGGACCTGAGACGTTTTCATGCAAAGGGTGGTGTGTGTGTGGAATGAGCTGCCAGAGGAAGTGGTGGAGGCTGGTACAATTACAACATTTAAAAGGTATCTGGATGGGCATATGAATAGGAGGGGTTTAGAGGGATGCGGGCCAAATACTAGCAAAATGGGACATGGTCAGATTGGGATATGTGGTTGGCGCAGATGGGTTGGACCAAAGAGTCTGTTTCTGTGCTGTATGAATCTATAACTCTAATCTAAACATTTTACATTCTAACAAGCAGCAGACCTGTCTCTGACCACTGTCAGACATCAGCAATAGCCGAGTCAGATGTGGTAACGTTCTGTTAACATTTTTTGTCGGATGGTGAATGTCACTTAGGCTTTGTCAGAGAGTTATATGCACAGGTAAGAGACAGGAAAAACAGTTCCGAAAGTGTTGATTGTCAGATAAGCAATTAGGTGAAAGCTGCAGGGAACCACAGAAATCTCAAAATCAAGACAGATTGTATTTAATTAGAAGTTAAATCTGTAACATGAACATTTTTTGCAATAATTAGTATTCTGATTGAATCGATCATTGATTCCCTAACCATAAAATCTCTATATAAGTTGTGTCACAGTAATCAATAACTGATGCAGGGTTGATACAAAGAATGCTGGAGAAATTCAGCGGGTCTGGCAGCATTTGTGGCAAGAGAAACTGCTAACTTTTCAGATTTTAATGACTTTTGAATCAAACCTTTTAGACTGACAGTGGCAGCATGAGATGTCAAAGTGTGAAGGTGTTGAATTGATTAATCTCGGTCTGTCTTGTCTCTGGCTGAACTGCTCACTGTCTTCACTGATTTTTGAGAATGTCCCTTCCCCAGTTGGAGGATCAGTGTCACACCCATTAACCTTGATGTGACCAAGTGGAATCTAACTTTTGGAGCCTCCTCGCAGTGCCTTGCAACTACATTTCATTAGTTAAGAGCAGAGGCCTAGAAATAACAGCCAGTCTTAGAGTCACACAGCTGTACAGCGTGGAAACAGACCCTTCAGTCAACTCGTCCATGCCGACCAAATATCCTAAATTAATCTAGCTCCATTTGACAGCATTTGGCCCATATCCCTCTAGACCCTTCCTATTCATATACCCATCCAGATGCCTTTTAAAAGTTCTAATTGTACCAGCCTCCACCACTTCCTCTGGCAGTTCATTCCATACACACACCACCCTCTGTGAAAAGATTGCCCTTAGGTCCCTTTTAAATCTTTAAAAGATGTGTATGGAATGAGCTGCCAGGGGAAGTGGTGGAGGCTGGTACAATTAGGCTGATGAAAGGTTTTTATTTTGGATTTCTACGACAGAATCAGAGTCATTTTCAGCCCAGCAGGAGGCCAATCAGCCCATCAAGTTTATGCAAGAGTCCATTGAGCAAACCAGTCAGTTTCAACGCCCCACTCTCTCCCTCCTTCAAGTTTATTTCCTCAAGCACTCGGCCATTTTCCTTTAGAAACTGTTTCTGCTGCCAGGTCCTTCATAAACCGAGAGCTCCAGACCATTACCTGTTGCTGTGTAAAAATAACCCTTTTTCTGACAAACTGTGCCACATCATTTTCCCAAAACCTTAAGTCTGTCTCCCCACCCCCACCCTTGTTCCTATCAGTGCCCTTCCCCACCCCCACCCCCACCCTTGTTCTATCGGAGCCCCTCATACTCCCACCCTTGCTCTATCGGTGCCCCTCATACCCCACCCTTGCTCTATCAGTGCCCCTCCCACCCCCAACCTTGTTCTAGCGGTCAACAGGAACAGATTTTTTTCTTCTTTATCTTCTTACCTAACTGCCAAATTAATCTTCTGCACCTCATCCAAAATCTCCTGCTCAATCTCCTTCACTCCAAGGTAAACAACCTCAGCTTCTCCAAACTAACCTCATCACTAAAATCCCTTATCCCTGAAACCATTCTGGTAAATCTCCTCTGTATCCTCTCAAGGACCCTCCCACCTTCCTGAAGTATGGTGACCAGAGCTGGGCACAATATTTTATGCCTGGATCTAACCAGTGCTTGATAAGGGTACAACATGACTTGTGAACTCAATTTTCAGTGTCTCAATTTAAGAAGCCTGATATCCCTTAAGCTTTGCTAACTATTCTTTCAAAGTTTCCTGAAACTGTCATAAATTGTTGTCGCTTTTGTACTTGGGCTGACTCTTCTTGTTACTGACATGCTTTTGGAAGTTGACCCTCAGCATCTACCAAGCTCTGACCTTATTAACCAATATAATTGTCATCTCAGCAAACGTTCTGAGTCCACATCAAGTTCCTTTTCTCCAGCCCTTCCCACTCCCAGCTGTCTGCTGATAGTACACAGTATGACATTGAAAACCAACAGCTCACCATGAAGTCTGTAGTTGCTCCAGAGTTGGCATGTCGGAGATACACAGGGTTTACACTGAAGGTTTCCTGTAGTTTCCACTTGTCTTTCACCCTGTGAGTGAGAAACTCCAGTCAGGTAAATAGCAAATCACAGCTGACTGAGCTGCAGACAGCAAATCAAAAAGTCTAGGTGCAACAAGCCTGAACGGAACAAACAGTTTAGAGATTTTAAGAAACCTCAGTCCCAAACGCTTCATGCCAGTTCAGATGGAGCTGTTTTTATTTGATGCAGACCCCACTGCTAGCATTCTCAGAGACTGTGCCTGTAGGTGTCTATACAGACACCTAGAGATTGGTCCCTTTCATTAAGTTACCACCTGTCCTGGTGTCTCAGTCCTAGTTCATCCTTATCCAAGAGTACCGCTCCCTCACTTTCACCTGTACTGTCACACAGATCTGCATTTGTATGTGACAAGTCACTGAGTACTGTCATGTCATGTCAAAACCTCTCCCCTTACTTGAAGCTTCTCATTTCTCTCCCTTTTGCCAGAATAACACCATCAGTTACATCATCATCCTTTGTATATTCCATTTTACTATAGTTTGAAGAAGTAAGTGTTTGTTGTTCGACTATATTCAAGACAGAAATCAATAGATTTTGACATTAAGGGGGGACATGGGGATAGTTTGGGAAGGTGGATTGAGACAGAAGATCATTCACATGATGAACAGTGCAATGGATTTGGTGGGAATGGCCTCCTCCTGCTGTAACAGATGTCTGTCACAGGGTAGTTTCAGTCTCTCTTTGGCATCACTTACCAAAACACTGTGCAGTCAAAGTGAACCATCATCCACTTGGAGGGGTTAAAGACGAAGGAATCTGCATATTCAATACCCTGCAGGAAATTCCGAAATTCAGGACACAGGAAGGCAGATCCTGCATATGCTGCATCAATGTGAAGCCACAGTTCCTCCCTGGCACCTAGACAGCCACAGCAAGAAAAACATTTCTAATTCTCCATTCCAAAACCATCCAACTATTTTACACAACATTGCAATCGGCTAAAGTTCACTGGACTGCTCAGGGCTCTGGTCAGTACGTTTATGAAGCCTCCTTGAGTTTCTGTCAGAAACTTCAAATCCTAAAAATTCAAATATTCAGAACTGCGGGGAAATTGCTCAAACAGGAGAGTGGCCTATACCTGACCCCAGTCTCAGACTCCACTCCATTCTCACTCCAAATTCTGAGCTAAATCTAAATGACAGATTTTTTAAAAGTACTTTTTAGAAAATGTATTTATTCTTTGCAAGATGCTTACTAAATCCTTTTGGGTTAGTGTAGACTCTGGGCTGAGGTCAAACACACAGATTGCTCTAGTTGTTAACCCAGTGTGAATATTAAAGTACAAGTCACTGTTCAAATACTGGGCTGGGCTGGACCTGACTTTCAGAAAGTGAACTTTCTCCTTGTTTCAGTGTCTATTGTGCAGCTTGTCTGTTTCAGCCTGTTCCCCCGAGAGACGGATCCTCAGAGCCCTGGTGTGGGATGAGGCGGGAGGTTGATCCTCAGGACCCAGACTCTGATTGTGGATTCCAATTGAGATCTCTGTACAACAGTGAGGGAGAAAAGCTTCAAGGAGAATGTATAACACACCCAGTAATCCCCTGTAACAATTCATCTGACATCTTAACCAGGTTCATGTTTCAAATCATTCAAGAGAGGAAAATGCTGTAAACTGTAGGGGTCCCAGAAATAATTCTATAAACTGCAACTTACAAATAGGTCCCAGTTCACTCAAACAGTCAAAGGCACAAACAGCAGTCGTACCGAGTGTGGCACAAACCTAAAGAACAGGACAGAGTATATCAGGTAAGAGAAACTGCAGACTACAAACACCCTTTAATATATCGCCACGGGCACTTTGGAGACTCCTGACACACAATGTTGTTGATTCTCAACTGCCCTCTGGGCAATTAGAGATGGGCAATAAATGCTGGTTGAGTGAGTGATGTCCATATTTCCATGAATGAAAAAAGAAAAGTAAACAAGGCATGAAGCACTCTGTTTGCTTTTGTTGCAGTTACCAGGACAAAGCAGACAATCTGCTTCTTGGATAATTCCAGACATACTTTACTGTGTTTTCCGGTCTGCCTACCTGGCTCCTGGACCCTGTAAGCAGTGCCCCATCTGTTACATATGTGAAGAGAAAAAGGCTGGTGAAGACAAATGTAGGTCTCTTTCACGTTAGAATCAGGTGATTTCATAATGGACAACAAAGAGATGGCAGAGCAGTTTAACAAATACTTTGGATCTGTCCTCACTAAGACTTCACACAAATAACCTTCTGGAAATGCTGGGGTACAGAGGGTCTAGCATGAAGGAGGAACTGAAAGAAATCCTTATTAGTCAGGAGATGGTATTGGGGAAATTAATTGGATTAAAACCCGACAAGCCCCCAGGGTATGATGCTCTACATCCCACAGTACTTATGGAAGTGGCCCTAGAAATAATGGGTGCGTTGGTAATCATTTCCCAGCATTCTGTAGACTCTGTATGAGTTCCAATGGACTGTAGGGGTAGCTAATGTAACCCCACTCTTTAAAAAAAAAAGGAGGGAGAGAGAAAATGGGGAATTATAGGCCAGTTAGCGTGACATCAGCAGTGGGGAAAATGCTGGAGTCAATTATTAAGGATGTAATAACTAAGCATTTGGAAAGCAGTGACACGATTAGTCCTAATCAGCGTGAATTCACTAAAGGGAAATTGTGTTTGACAAATCTTCAGAAATGTTTTGAGGATGTGACCAAGGGTGAATCAGTACATGTTGTGTATCTGGACTTTCAAAAGGCTTTTGATAAGGATCCACACAAGAGATTAGTAAGAAAAATTAAAGCTCATGGTATCAGAGGTAATGTATTGACGTGGATAGAGAACTAATTGGCAGACAGTAAGCAGAGAGTTGGAATAAACGGATCCTTTTCAGAGTGGCAGGCAGGCAGTGACGAGTGGGGTACCACAGGGTTCAGTGCTGGGACCCCAGCTGTTCACAATATACTTCGGCAGTTTGGACGAAGGAATAGAATGCCATACGTCCAAATCTGCAGATGGCACTAAGCTGGGTGGCAGTGTGTGCTGTGAGGAGGATGCTAAGAGGGTGCAGGGTGACTTGGACAGGCTGGCTGAGGGAACAAATATTTGGCAAATGCAATTTTTTTTATTCATTCATGAGATGTGGGCATCATTGGCTAGACCAGCATTTAGTGCCCATCCCTAATTGCCCAGAGGGCAATTACAAGTCAACCACATTGCTGTGGGTCTGGAGTCACATGTAGGCCAGACCAGGTAAGGATGGCAGTTTCCTTCCCCTAAAGGAGATTAATGAACCAGATGGGTTTTTCCTGACAATCAGCAATGGTTTGATGGTCATCATTAGACTTGTAACTTGAGATTATTATTGAATTCAAATTCCGCCACGGTAGATGTCTTTTGAACCCGGGTCCCCAGAACATTACCTGGGTCTCTAGACTAACAGTCTGGCAATAATACCATGAGGCCATCGCTTACCTCTATAATGTGGACAAATGTGAGGTTATCGACTTTGGTCACAAAAACAGGAAGGCAGATTATTATCTGAATGATGGCAGTTTAGGAAAAGGTGAGGTGCAATGAGACCTGGGTGTCACAGTTGAACAGTCACTGAAGGTTGGTATGTAGGTGCAGCAGGCAGTGAGGAAAGCTAATGGCATGCTGGCCTTCATAGCAAGAGGATTTGAGCATCAGATTAAGGGTGTCTTGCTGCAGTTATACAGGGCCTTGGTGAGGCCACTCCTTGAGTATTGTGTGCAGTTTTGATCTCCTAGTCTGAGGAAGGACGTTCTTGTTATTGAGGGAGTCCAGCGAAGGTTCACCAGACTGATTCCCGGGATGACTGACATATGAGGAAAGACTGGATCGACTGGGCTTGTACTCACTGGAACTTATAAAGTTACAGGGGGATGTCATAGAAACACACAAAATCCAGATGGGACTGAAGGCCAATTTTGATGGCATTAGGCAAGAACTTTCAAAAGTTGATTGGGAGCAGATGTTTGCAGGTAAAGGGATGGCTGGGAAATGGGGAGCCTTCAAAAATGAGATAACGAGAGTCCAGGGACAGTATGTTAATGTTAGGGTGAAGGGCAAGGCTGCTAGCTGTAGGGAATGCTGGATGACTAAAGAAATTGAGGCTTTGGTCAAGAAAAAGAAGGAGGCATATGTCAGGTATAGACAGCAGGGATCGAGTGAATCACTAGAAGAATATAAAGGCATACTTAAGATGAAATCAGGAGGGCAAAAAGGGGACATGAGATAGCTTTGGCAAATAGGGTCCTGGAGAATCCAAAGGGATTCGACAAATACATTCAGGACAAAAGGGTAACAGGGCCCCTTAAAGATCAGCAAGGTCCCCTATGTGTGAAACCGCAGGAGATGGGGGAGATACTAAATGCGTATTTACTGTGGAGAAGGATATGGAAGATAGAGAACGTGAGGAAATAAATACGACATCTTGAAAAATGTCCATATTACAGAGGAGGAGGTGTTGGACGTCTTAAAATGCATAAAGATGGATAAATCCCCGAGACCTGATCAGGTATACCATGGGAAGCTGGGGAAGTGATTGCTGGGGCCCTTGCTGAAATATTTGTATCATCGATAGCTACAGGTGAGGTGCCGGAAGACTGGAAGTTGGCTAACGTAGTGCCACTATTTAAGAAAGGTGGTAAGGAAAAGCCAGGGAACTATAGACCTGTGAGCCTGACATCAGTGGTGGGCAAATTGTTGGATGGAATCCTGAGGGACAGGATTTATATGTATTTGTAAAGCCAAGGACTGATTAGGGATAGTCAACATGACTTTGTGTGTGGGAAATCATGTCTCACTAACTTGTGTTTTTTGAAGAAGTAATGAAGTGGATTGATGAAGGCTGAGCAATGGACATGATCTATGTGGACTTCAGTAAGGTGTTTGACCTCATGGTAGACTGATTAGCAAGGTTAGATCACATGGAATACAGGGAGAACTATGCATTTGGATACAGAACTAGCTCGAAGGTAGAAGACAGAGGGTGGTGGTGGAGGGTTGCTTTTCAGACTGGAGGCCTGTGACCATCAGAGTCCCACAAGGATTGGTGCTGGGTCCACTGCTTTTTGTCATTTATATAAATGATTCGGATGTGAATATAGGAGGTATCGTTGGTAAATTTGCAGATGACACTAAAATGGAATGTGTAGTGGACAGTGAAGAAGGTTACCTCAGAGTACAACGGGGTCTTGACCAGATGGGTCAATGGGCTGAGGAGTGGCAGATGGAGTTTAATTTAGATAAATGTGAGGTGCTGCATTTTGGAAAGGCAAATCAGGGCAGGACTTATACACTTAATGATAAGGTCCTGGGGAGTATTGCTGACCAAAGAGACCTTGGAGTGCAGGTTCATAGTTCCTTGAAAGTGGAGTCGCAGGTAGAACAAAGAACAAAGAAAATTACAGCACAGGAACAGGCTCTTCAGCCCTCCAAGCCTGCATCAACACGCTGCCTGTCACAGCTCAACCCATTACCCTTCTGGGGACCATATCCTTCTATTCCCATCCTATTCATGTATTTGTCAAGACGTCCTTTAAAAGGCACTATCATATCTGCTTCCACTACCTCACCCGGCAGCAAGTTCCAGGCACCCACCACCCTCTGTGTAAAAACCTTGCCTCTTACATCACCTTTAAACGTTGCCCCTAGAACCTTAAAACTATGGCCCCTGGTACCCGACTCTTCCACCCTGGGAAAAAGTTTCTGACTGTCCACTCTGCCCATGCCCTTCATAATCTTGTAGACCTCTTTCAGGTCCCCCCTCAACCTCCGTTGTTCCAGTGAGAACAACCCAAGTTTCTCCAACCTCTCCTTTCGCTAATGCCCTTCATACCAGGCAACATCCTGGTAAATCTTTTTTTTTCATCCATGGGATGAGGACATTGCTGGCTAGACAGTATTTATTGCCCATCCCTAATTGCCCAGAGGGCAGTTAGGAATCAACCACACTGCTGTGGGTCTGGAGTCACTTGGAGGCCAGACCAGGTAAGGATGGCAGTTTCCTTCCCTAAAGGACACTAGTGAACCAGATGGTTTTTTCCAACAATCAACAATGGATTCATGGTCATCTTTAGATTCTTAATTCCAGATATTTATTGAATTCAAATTCCATCATCTGTTGTGGCGGGATTTGAACCCGGGTCCCTGGAACATTATTTGGGTCTCTGGATTAACAGTCCAGTGATAATACCACTAGGCCATTATCTCCACTTTTGTACCCTCTCCAAAGCCACCACATCCTTCTGGTAGTGTGTTAATTAGGATAGTGAAGAAAGTGCTTGGTATGCTTGCCCTTTATTGGTCAATGCATTGAGTATAGGAGTTGGGAGGTCATGTTGCATTTGTACAGGACTGCAATACTGTGTTTAGTTCTGGTCACCCTGCTTTAGGAAGAACGCTGTGAAATTTGAAAGGGTTCAGAAAAGATTCACAAGGATGTTGCCAGGGTTGGAGGGTCTGAGCTACAGGGAGAGACTGAATAGGCTGAGGCTATTTTTCCTGGAGCGACGAAGGCTGAGGGGTGACCTTAGAGGCTTATAAAATCGTGAGAGACATGGATAGGATAAATAGACAAGGTCTTTACTCTGGGATGGTGGGAGTCAAAATCTAGAGGGGATAGGTTTAAGGTGAGAGGAGAAAGATTTAAAAGGGACCTAAGGGACAACTTTTTCACACAGAGGGTGGTGTGTGTATGCAATCAGCTGCCAGAGGAAGTGGTGGAGGCTTGTACAATAACAACAATTAAAAGGAATCTGGATGGGTATATGAATAAGGTGAGTTTAGAGGGAAATGGGCCAAATGCTGGCAAATAGGACTAGATTTATTTAGGATATCTGGTCAGCATGGATGATTTGGACCAAAGAGTCTGTTTCCATGCTGTACATCTCTATGACTCTATAACTGGGCAGTTTAGATGCAGGAAGAATGTTCCCAACATTGGGGAAGTCCACTAGTAGGGGTCAGAGTCTAAGAATAAGGGGTAAACTGTTCAGGACTGAGATGAAGATGAATTTCTTCACACAGAGTTGTGAACCTGTGGAATTCCCTCCCACAGGAAGCTGTTGGGACAGTTTGTTAGATATATTCAAGAAGGAGCTGGATGTGGCCCTTGCGGCTAAAGAGATTAAGCGATATGGGGAGAAAGCAGGAATGGGATACTGAGATTGCATGGTCAGTCGTGATGGTATTGAATGGTGGTGCAGGCTCGAAGGGCCAAATGGCCTACTCCCACACCTATTTTCTATGTTTCTGTGTAGGTAGGTGCATCTGCACCATGGAATCTGGTTCCGACGCTAAACTGTTGATTTCAGACTCTGTCCCAAAATTGATGACAAAGTGAATTAACATTGCCCTTCACATCAGATTTCACCAATATCTTTGACATAATTTCAAATTTGTTTCAAAACATATGGAATTCAGACTTTAATTTTCCTCAGTATTTAATGTAATACAACTTTTTTTCCTTTTTTGTAAAAAATGGAAATTTACAATTAAAATACTTTAATATTGTGAATGCTAGTAACCAAAACTAAAATCAGAAATTGTTGGAAATGCTCAGCAGGCCAGACAGTATCTGTGGAGAGAGAAACCTAGTAAACATTTCAGGTCTGTGAACTTTCATTCGTAAAGAGAAATATGTGGTCAGTGTGAGTTTAAATCCGAGTAAGAATCACGCTCCCATCTCAGCGAAGATCGAACCCGTTTTGTTAACAAGATGCCTCCAGATGTTTCGCTGAAGAAATGGACAGCAAGTTCTGGAAAGCTCAGCTCCTGCTCGAACCAGGAGCAGGTTCAGGGAAAGATAAAGATTGAAATCTGCTGATTAAAGCCCTATTAGGGGAGAGAATGAAAACCCGTTCCAGTCTGACGAAGTTGTTCTTACTGAGACTTACAAAGAATGGAACAAGTCCTAATCTTCTATCTTCTTCCAATGCTTGCTTCAGAGTCTCACCTCGAAGGGACCAATCCTCATCAGTCTTGAGGAACCGAATTTTAACGAAAGTGATCAGTCCGGCTTTCTCCACAGAGGAATGAGCCTGAGAAATCACATTGGACCGAAAGATCGTGTTAGAGACAAGTGCCCAGCAACTTATTTGATCAGCTCCGGAACAAGGACAAGATTCTTGTGAATTAATTCACGATCGATCCCAGATCACAACTGAACACCAATCCCAAAGAAATAACCCCCTGGAGAATAGCGATTGCAGAATTCCGCCAGGTACAGTTATAGCCCATTCTCTCGGGGGGGGAGCAGAGGTGGGGTGTGGGGAGGAAGACCCTCCCCTGCGGTGAGGTTTACAGTGGGAGGGACCCCCCCATGCCCCATCGCCGGCACTGCGCTGGGAAGACACCTACACTCCCCATCCCCAGATACAACACTCCGACCCACCCAGTCTACCCGCCCTCCCCTGTTCACCTGGTCAGAGGCGTATGCAATCAGACGGGAGTTGAGGACTGAGTGATCGAATTTGGGTAAGGTCGATTGCATCTCCATGATCTTGGCTTTCCTCGCGACCAACAGGGCGATTAATGTGGCCTCACTGGTCGTACTCTGCAACATTACAACATCTCGGTCAAAAACACAGCCTCTTGTCTCACTTCTATCAACCACCCATTCCTGAATCAAAGGTCAGATGGACGTGACACTGAGGAAATCAATCTGTGTTCTCCTATCTTCGATAATACCGAGTTGTTGGTGATTTGAGACTCACACTGATCCTGAAACAATCTGGACTGTTTTCAAATGGATTTTTTTGATCAGACTTTGTCCGGAGAGACTCACTGCAGGGAAATAGGCATTCCAATTTGTACTTCACACATAAGATCATAAGATATAGGAGCAGAATTAGATCATTCAGCCCATCAAGTCTGCTCCACTATTCGATCATGATCCCCGTGATCCCCTTACCAATCAAGAACCTGTCTCTGTCTTGAAGACACTCAATAACTTGGCCTCCACAGCCCTCTGTAGCAAGGAGTTCCACAGATTCACCATCCTCTGGCTGAAGAAATTCCTCCTCACCTCAGTTCTAAAGGATCATCCTTTCACTCTGAGGCTGTGTCCTGGGGTCATGGTCTCTCCCACAAGTGGAAACATCTTCTCTATATCCAGGCCCCTCAGTATTCTGTAATTTTCAATGAAATCCCCCTCATCCTTTTAAACTTGATCAAATACAGACACAGAGTCCTCAACCATTCCTGATATGACAAGCCCTTCATCCCCAGGATCATTCTTGTGAACCCCTTCCGGACCCTCTCCAATGCCAGCACATCCTTCCTGAGGGACAGGACCCAAAACTACTCACAATATTCATGTTGTGGTCTGACCAGAGCCTTATACAGCCTCAACTGTATATCTCTGCTCTTGTACTCTAGACTTCTTGAAGTAAAAGCTATTGCATTTGCCTTCCTAACCGTTAACTGATCCTTCATGTTAACCTTAAGGGAACATAGAACTAGGACATCTAAGACACTTTGTGCTTCAGATTTCCAAAGCCTTATCACATTTAGAAAATAGTCTATGCCTCTATTCTTCCTACCAAAGTGCATACTCTCACAGCTTCCCACTCTGTTTGACATCTGCCATTTCCTTGCTCAATCTCCTGGCCTGTAATAGGATCCCTACAGCATGGAAGCAGCCCATTCAGCCCATCAAGTTCACACCCTCCCTCTGAAGAGCATCCCACCCAGACTAGCCCACCTAGCCTGCACATCCTGGACACTATTTAGCATGGCCAATCCACCTAGCTGGGTGTAGACTGTGGGAGGAAACTGGAGCACTCAGAGGGGACCCAGACAGACACGGGGAGAATGTGTAGACTCTACACAGACAGTCGCCCGAGTCGAACCCGGGTCCCTGGTGCTGTGAGGCAGCAATGCTAACCACTGAGTCATTGTGCTCGCCAAGTCTTTCTGCAGTCTCCCCACTTCTTCAACATGACCTATCCCTCCACCTATCTTTTTGTGTCACCCCCAAACTTAGCAACAATATCCTCAGTTCCTTTGTCTAGATCGTTAATGCATAACATGCAGCTTCTTTAATGAAGCAAAAGCTTTCCTCCATTCCCCTGACCATGATGGTTCCACAATCACCTTGAATGCTAATCCTGCACTGCCCATAACATCACTCTGAGCCAGCTCAGCCTGAATCAGCTGTAAGCCCACTGCAGGATGGTGAGGGTTATCGGTGCTCACCAGGTGAGAGGTCTCCAAGTGGGACTGGAAGTGGCAGTGGGACTAGAGCCCCCGTGTGGGGAGCCCCCCGTGTTGGGAGGCCCCGGTGTGGGGAGCCCCGGTGAGCGGAGCCCCGGCGTGCAGAGACCCGGCGTGCAGAGCCCAAATCTATTGCTATTAAGCAGAAGTTACACTAGATCCATTGTCATCAAAATGGCAACGAATCTCTGAGGATTGGGACCAGGGTTTGGAAACACTTGGCTGTTGTAAAGTTGTGAGGAATCCAAAGGCTCAAACCTGATAACTACCAGAAGGAGGATTCTCTAAATCCTGACAGCATTTCACCAGGACCAGTGCTGTACCTTCAGTGACACTGACTCTGATTCCATCGATAGAAAGAATGATGCTTTGACAGCCAAAGTGATCAGGAAAAAGAAACATTGTAATTTATTAATGTGGGATAATTAAAACATATTTTCTGTGTGATCCACTGAATCATTAAGAGGGATGTATTAAAGAGGATAGACTCTCAGTGAAAGCTGTGGGTACCTGGAGAACACCTCCTCCCTGACTATCCGGATGATGGTGCAAGAAATGATCGGGAAGCCCTAGCATTGCAGCCAACCAATCCAGCACATTCATCTCCAGCTCTGTGCAAGCTGGGCTCGAGGCCTGGAATTACAAATATAATCAGAGTCTGACATTCATTCTGAAAACCCAAAAATAATCAGGTTATGCTGTCATACCAAATACAATGTAGTTTTGGAAAAGACCAGGAAGAGTTTAACAGGATTCAGAGAGAAACAGAGAAAGAAAGAGAGGGAGAGAGAGAGAGACAGAAGCTTGTCCTTGGAGCAATCAAGGTTAAAAATTGTTTCAAATCATGGGAGGATTTGAAGGCAAAATAAAAAGAACAATCTCTTCTGACAAATGGATCGAAATACAGAGTTAATGTTTCATGGCCAGTACACACTGCTGCTACTGAGCATCAGTGGTGAAGGGAGTGGGATGTTTGTGGATGTGGTGCCAATCAAGTGGGGGCTGCTTTGTCCTGGATGGTATCAAGCTTCATTGTTGTTGGAACATTTCTCATCCAGGCAAATAGGATTATTCCATCCAGAGTTTTTGATATCTGGAGTGCACAATCTAACTTGCAGGGAAATGTGGAACAAGATGGGGAATAGGAATAAGTTGGACAGCTCTTTCAGAGATGTAGCACAATGTGTAACTCCCCATCATATCAGATTCTCCAATTCCTTGATCAGAATAACAAGCCTCTGATTGTCCCATTATGATGGCACTGTTAATGACCAGGACTTCCAGCTGTTTCTACAACTCAGGTAGATCAGGATTCCTGGCAGGAACATTCTTCAGCTTTGTCACTGGGAGAATGAGAGGGAGCAGCATTAATTTCAGTGAAGAAGGTTTTGTTCTGAAAAGATTATAAACCAATGCTGTTAACTGTCCAAATCACTGGAGAAGCTGAAAGTGGGAGGCTTTCACCCTTTTTAAAAAGAAACCAACAATAACCATGATATAGGTGACAAGAGTTAGATTGACTGATTGAACATTCAAATCTTTCAATCATGACTAGACAAAAGCACTGACTATAGAACTCATCAAATATCTGGAGATTCAGTGTTATTGTCACAGTTTTGACTGTACTTTATTACTGTATGGTAGTAATAAAAGGTTTATTGTACTTTTTGACAGTTCTTACCCAAGTGAATCCTAAACAGTTAATACCATCTGCCAACATGTCCCCAAGTAAAGATGGCCATGACGTTAGCGCAGGGAAGTAGGCGTGCATGTGAGGGCTCTGCCAGTGAACTACCTACAGGAACACAGAAAAACACACTCAAAAGGTTAAAGCTGATCTTGATTGTACAGAACTCTGTGCCCTAGCATCCAAGGCAAATCTGAATCTCACATGGTTGTGGGTGACCTAGAGAAAAAGGGAACCAGTACAGACAAGACAGTCATTTCAAGGGAGAAGCTGGAAGCCTGGTTAAATCCTGGATACACACATCATACGAAAGAGAGACAGATATGGGCACAACACACTTTAAGGGAAGAGAGAAGTTTTCACAATAGGGATTTGAAAATAGAGTTGAATTTTAATGTTAGGTTATTTTAAGCAAACATAGTCATTCAGAGCATTTCCAACAGTGACTATACTTCCTTCATTTACAACAATCCCCAAAATATTGTTTATTTAATTTGTTGTAATTTCTGATGCATAGACTAGGTGAAACAAATGAAACTGGTGTGTGTGGCTGGAGGATTTACTAGATTCTTATGAGTTAATTATACATTCATTGCTCTCTTTCCGAAGAGGTCATTTAGGGATGAAGGAGTGTAATTGTCAGCAGTTTCAAGGGATATTGTAGGTGAATGAGGTACTGCCTACTATGAAAGTTTGTCTTAATGTTATGTGTAATCTATATTATTAAAATATCAGCTTCTTTCATGTCAGTTTGTATAAACAATAATTACAAATGTCCTCATAAAATACGACATTATATGGAATAAGGATGTGTAAGAAGGGATTGAAATGAGAGGAATTAGTAATTTTATTTGATGTGACAATTTACACAGTCTAGTGAAACAGACACTGACGTATGGTCCACCTAGAATGGAGACAGAAGAGACTGGAGATACAGCTGGGCAGTGAAGCAAATTTCCAACGTGTTAACAATAATCCACGGTTTTCGTGTTTCCGCTCTGTCATCCTATGCTCTTAACAAAAAGTAATTAAAGTAATGTAAAATATTTACTCAGATGAGTTTGATTGTCTGAGCTCAAGAGCCACAAGATTTCTCCAATTACAGTAAATGGGGGAAAAAAAGGTTAAAGAAGGAAAACTGTGCCTAAAAAATGTTGAAATGTTAAACATCTGAATAATTGTACCAGTCACTAGGATTTATTTTGTTCTTTGTAATATTATAAAGCAAATACCAGCCTGTGCCTCAGTCAGGCTGTGGGCTCTATTTCTGTGAAAGCACAAAAGAGTTGGGGAATGGGGGAGTGGGAGTGTGTGGGGGAGTGGTGGGGGGACAGCGGGGGAGGAGGGTGGGGGGGTGGGGGTTGGGGTTGTGAGGAGAGATGGGGGAGTGGGGG